TACTACCCATTCCCGTGCACTACTAAAACACTCTAATGCAGATACAGGCCGTCCTGAGACTTCATCTGAGTTTGCAAAGCGGATGAAGGATCATGTACGCTTCGTCGGCCCTAGAACCGCACAGGAGGGCGGGAGTACCAAAGAATTGACTCCACCATTGCAAAGTATAAGTCCTAATAGGGCTAAGCAAGCTATGGAATCTAAAACGTCGTTAGAAAGCAGTATAAAAGGTGTGAAACAGCACCAAAAGCTTACTATCAAGATCCCTCCAAAATCAAGGCCTAGCCCCAAGGATATGAGCCATAAGTCAGTCAGACAACCTGCAGGTGCTTCACAAGATATATCTACAGAGGATAAGGTCAAGGACTCACCTCACAGAAGCTGGGATGACCATAGATCTCGACAGCAAGAAGGCATTGATGCCCAAAGTGCCAGCAAAGCAATGTCACATGATTTGGCCGAATTTGGTCCAGATTGTGACAGTGTGACATTGCTTAATGCTATTCCATCGCAAAATGGCCTCAACTTTGAACAATCAATTAGAAACCACTATTCCAATGACACTCTATTCAAAAGAATAGTTGAACACCCTGAACATTTTAAGAATTTTGAGTGGGATATGGATTCTGGCCTACTGTACCTCAAAAAAGATGATAACCGACTCTTATGCATACCTCGTGTACTTATAAATGGCCGAACAGCTCAAGAAATTATAATTTCAGAGGCTCATTCAATTCTAGCTCACCTTGGAGCAAGTAAGACCTTAGATTATCTTTGCCAGAATGTCTGGTGGAAAGACATGGTTTCAGATGTGAAGTCTTACTGTGAATCATGTCATACATGCAAAATGAGCAAGCCTAACAATCAGAAGCCTTATGGCTTGTTGCACCCGCTGAAGGTACCTTCATACCCTTGGGAGGCAATTGGTGTGGACTTTGTTGGACCATTACCAGACTCAAAGAATCGGGATGGTACTTTTGACTCAATAACAGTCATAATCGACTTGTTTACCTCTATGGTACATTTAGTTCCATGCCGTATGACGTATTCCACTCGTCAAGTAGCTGAACTAATGTTTGAACATGTTTACAAACTCCATGGAATGCCACGATGGATAATAAGTGATTGAGACTCTCTTTTTACAAGCATCTTCTGGAAACGGCTTCATGAGCTAACAGGAACTCAGCTCAATATGTCCAGTGCATACCATCCTCAGAGCGATGGTTCTACAGAACGTGCTAATCGCACTATCACTCAGATGCTACGACAATGCGTTAATACCACACAGAAGGACTGGGTATCTAAGTTACCAGCCATTGAGTTTGCTATCAATTGCGCTCGATCAGAAACCACCGGATATGCTCC